GAATGGTTATTCGCACATATGTATCCAATACCATCGTTCAACCTGATGTGGTATCAGAATGGCGAATTCGACTTTTGACCAGAAGACTTATCTTACCTACAGCTACCGGGGAGACTTCACCAATCTATGGAGAATGCAACGTGGTAATTAGAATTGGAAATGCAGCCTTACCCAGCTGGGTATTAATAGCCGACATGGTAGATGATGTCGTCATTGGATTAGACCTTCTTGAAGAACATGGAATCGAATTAAATCTGAACAATTCTATAATAAGCACCGGTTGAGAAGAGGTAGTAATGTAAAATCCAAAGACAAACCTTGCTGCCAACAGAGTGATCATAGAGGAAGATCGAGTACTACCGGGTCACTCCGAGAGCATTGTAAATGTCAGAGAAGACGACGATATCGGCTAATTGGTGGGGGCTGCTGAACCAGACAATCAAGCCTTGACGTAGAAAGCATGATTTGTAAGACTTAAGCTTATAAGAAGTACAACATTATCGATACCTGTTAGAATAGCCAATTTGAAAGAGCAGAAACAAGCGCCATGTGATACTTCCAAAGAAAAGAATTTTATAAGTCTTAGAAGCAGTTCATGGCGAAGGATATTTCTACGTTACGAAGACTCTAGGGAAGGTAAGCGAGCAATTTTATTGACCACGAAGTAGAAGCCATGTGGAAGACTGGTGCAGGCAATGCCCGACATCCGCTGTTAGTAAGGGACCGAAGTCAAGACAATGTCATCATTGGATTAGACCTTCTTCAAGAACATGGAATCGACATAAATCTGAGCACTTGTACAATGCGCACCATTGGAGAAGAGATGTGAAAGCCCACAAGGTGATCGTGGAGGAAGATCGAGTACTACTGAGTCATTCCGATAATATTATAAAAGTCAGAATAGACGACAACATCTGCCGATTGGTGAGGTAGTCGAACTAGACAATCAAGACTTGACACAGAAAGCATTATTGGTGGGACATACCTTCGTAAGAAGCGGAACATCATTAACTCCTGTTACAACTGTTACAATAGCCAATTTGAAAGACTTCGAGCAAAAGTTCTGCAAATACGCAGAGTTGTGTATTTGAAACAGTAGCTGAAATCCGCCATTGCGACTGGGAAGAAGAACCCGAGATGATACCGAATCGTTTCCTGTAACTTTATTAGAACTGGTGAAACGGTCAAGTAACCATCTCAACAAACATCAAGTCAAACATTTGGAAGAACTTTTTGGTCGTTTTGAGACTTTGGTAGAACCAACTTAACTTACCACCGCATCAATATTGGAACAGCAAGGCCCATTAAACAACCGTCTAGAAGAGTTCCTTGTGCGAAGCAAGAGGAAGTCAATAATCTTATGAAAAACATGCATAAGCAATTGGTAATAGAACCATTCCAAAGATCTTAGGATTCCCCTTTAGTGCTTGCACGTAAGAGGATGGTTCCACAAGACAGCTACCTATTACCCCGAATCGATGACATACTAAACAGTCTAGCTGGAGCTAAATGGTTCTCTACTGTCGATTTGAAGAGCGGATACTAGCAAGTAGATATACATCCGCTGGATAAGGAAAAGACTGCCTTTACAACTGGAAATGGTCTATGACAGTCCAATGTGATGCCCTTTGGATTGTGCAATGCACCGGCTACATTCAATATATTCATGGAGACTGTATTATAAAGATTAAACTGGAGAATTTGTTTGGTTTATCTAGACGACGTCATCATAATAAGAAGAACTTTGGACGACCACCTCCGAAACCTGAAGGAATTTTTTAATAAAGCTGCAAGAATGAAGGTAAGTCCCAAGAAATGCACCTGTTTAGAAGAGAAGTGAAATACCTAGGCCATATCATAACACTAGAAGGAATTATGACCTACCCTGACAAAACGGATGCCATGCTAAGTTGACCCATACAAAAGGATCCTCACGAGCTTAGAAGTTTTCTGGGACTTTGCTTCTACTACCGAAGATTCATAGGAAGGTTAGGGAGGAAGAGGAGGGGGAATGTAGAGGGGATCTATTAAGACTATTAACAAAAACACATTCTTGAATATTAAACATGTTCTAATTCATAAGTGCTACTTATTAACTGTAATTTAAGACCTAGGTACAATAAATAAAAGTAATGCTTATTGGCTTTGGTGCAAATGGTTATTACGATTGTTGAAGCAGAAAATGTTTTGGTGTGTGAATAGATACCTTTTGGGAGTGGAAATTACATACATTAAAGGTAAAATATGTATGAAGTTTCTGACCTACGAATATACTTACTTAATCAATTTTTTCATTAAACAATAAAATAATTTATGTAACTATAAGAAAACTATAGGAACTATGATACTGCTTTTATTATTCTTTGACTGTAAGCCGATTTACAGCACTTTTCCTTTCTTATAATAACAAATTCGTGAAATATGATAATAAAATTCGGTTTGCACTCCAATTATTAGTATTAATATGCACTTAAATCAGTAATTATAAATTATAATAACAAACAGTAAGATAAATACTATAGTATAGCGTTTTGTAAACACTAAAACAAGGAACAACTCCCGTCCGGCAACAAATTTAAGTCCGGAAAATTCTCTACCGACTGGACTAATAATATAGTACTCAACGCTACCGTTCTTTCGCTTTATTCGGTTAATAATCCAATTTAAATGCGTTTCCGTTTGGAAATGCCTTTGTCATTCACATTATGTATTTCACACTTGCCTGTAATTAAATTTATGAGACAAAAGGGTTCAGTATCGATTACCTGCATCCTTTTATGGCGATTTACAGATCGTGCTTTAGCCGTTCAATCCGGACATATCGATGCATCGAGGTCTGTTTTGTTTTAAGAGATTTTTAATTAAATTTCAATCAGCAACTTGACGTCGAGTTATAGCGTAATTATTAAAGCAGAAAGCTGCGTTGGTCATTAATACGTAGCGGACGTACAGGCAATCAATTTTTTATGAATGAAGATGCGTGAAACAAATTTTATATGAAATACTAGACGTTTATTTACATCCATTTTGGTGCAGAAATTATATATTATTAGACAGAGGGCAAATTCTAGCGGGTCAGATGATTTCCACCTAGGTAAATTGAATAATGTGCATGGAAATTCGGGTCTGTTTTGATTAATAGTTTTATCCCTCCATACTGAGAATAACTATCGAGAAATAAAGTATGGATTAACTATTCTATCTTTTGTAAGTAGAGGGGCAGACGGGTTCCCATATCTGGACGACAGCTCCCAAATCTGGGGAATGGTCTATTCATCAACATCTTACCAATTTTGGACCTTTAGAAGGTCTTTCTAGGTCATTCTTCATCTGAAGAGGTTGGACCATACCCCTTTTGTCAACAATACCAGACCTAGAAAGGCCTTCTAAAGATCCAAAATTGGTGAGATATTGATCCCCAGATATGGGGAACTGTGACCCAGATATGGGAACCCGTCTGCCCCTCTACTTTTGTATTGCCTCATATTACAACGAACAAACAAGCGAGAATGTATATTATGTAGTAAACAAAGTTAATTATGACTTATTACGTTCACTCTACTTGACATCACTTACAATGACGTAATCTACAATGCTGGAATGTAGCTTATATTTTTTAAGTATACTACAAGTAAGTTCAATGAATTGCTGCTATTTCTTTTTGGATTAGTTCATCTAGACTACGTCGATGATGAAGACTCGGTCCTTCAATAATTTTACAATGTCGGTTTTTATTTTATAAAAATAAAGTTTGATAGACGAAAACGGCTTTGCTGAAAGCTATGCATTGAAATCAGAAGTTTTATACATATCTGTATCTTTGAAGTTTAGATCAAGTGTTAAGAACGTTAACTGTTGTTATTAAATTAAAATAAATGAGTTATTTATATAGTTGAATCTGGAAATAACAACCGTATTCCTTTTCACAACAAACAATGGTGGTTACCTTTAAAAGAAAACAAGTTTATATTGCAATTACGTTGGATGTCATTATTTAAATTAATGCCAAGATTATCATTAAACAACCAGAGGAAATCATGCAATATTTTAATTCCTTCTTAAATAGGATCTACATGTTTCAAAATCTGGATAACAATCATTCACACATCTGAATGACCTTAGTGAGTAACATCATTAAAGTGCTGTCGATCCTGCTACGTATATGTACGTATGTACAGTGGCGGATTATCCATAAGGCAAAGTAGGCATATGCCTAGGGGCGCAAAGTTAAAAAGGGGTGCGCGCGGAAATGTTTAAACCTAAAAAAAAAATAAGGAAGTACCTAATAAAATATAAGTGTTTTGCAAAATATATGACCACCAGAGGATCGCCTATGTGGTGCTAGCCTAGAGCGCTCTCTACATTTAATCCGCCTCTGCGTATGTATACGTCAACGTCAATCATATCCTTATCCCAACTAATACTGTCAATGCAAATGCGAGTTTGCTGGTTTGTTACCATTTTAAGCCTTAACTACTCAACCGAACATTATGAAATTTTGTACACACATTGTCAGGTTATAGAAAAGGGCATCATTATAATCGTAAGGTCGTCAGTCCTAAGACTGGTTAGATACGGATCTCCCCTTTTTTCTATCTTGAGGTAATCTTAACATTTCCCTAAAACTAGAACATCATACATCTTTCACTGTTTGTGAAAATCAATAAAAAAACATTAACGCGAGCAAAGCCACGGGAAAAAGCTTGTGATTTATAAAAATCTTTAAAATTCAGAATCACAGGATTGTTTTCAATAACTATTTTACAATAATTCAAATTTATTGTAAATTAAGTACCTAATGCAGCAGGTAATTTATTGGCCCGCCCCTTTATTTTTAAACACATCGTGTTGGTGTGAAAAAGAAGTACACTTTTCCGTAAATGTCATACTTTCATGATTGTCTAAGCAAATCATTGTACAATGGATTCAATTGTTTTTGGCGGCCTCAAATACCACTAGTAATCAGGACGAAATAAGTATTTTTTCTTTTGAATTCTTACCTTAAATGCATCAACAGGAATTCTGCAAGAGTACTCCTGCCCAAGAGAACGTATCTGCTTTTGCTGATACCAGAATTTAGGAATGAATACAAGAAGCATTGTTGGAGTAGCTGTAAATTGGCTCCTCAAAAAATTAATTATAAGTACCATATCTGGATGAAGTTCCGAAAGGATAAGGATTCTTAATATGTAGTAAATGCTGCTGAATGTGAATTCGATGCTAACAGCTGCTGTCAGATACTTTCTTTCCTGAAACAAAATAAAGTTATTGTAGCGACAGTATACTTTTATTGAATAAACAAACTCACAATGAATTAAACATAACAATAGATTTTTACATATTGTCTTTGAGTTACTTCCCTTGTTGCTTCCTTAATAGCGAAATATACAGATTGAGAAATTTTTCGATTTATAATTAGTTTGAAGAATTTATTTGTTTAAATATTATCTACAAGTATTTTCGTAGCTATCGTAACAATATCCGCATATTATGTTTCCTGCTTTGGTGAGTAGTACAACATCAAAACTAATGTAATTAATGCCGTTTGTGGTGTGTACTGACATTGTAATTTAACATATAAATTAAATATTCAAAAATATTTATTATATATATGTTGGATTGGTTTATTATGTAAGGGAAAGTACGAAAAGGTGGCATGGCGCAAGTTTGACCTGGTTAGGTNTATTTATTATATATATATATCACTCGGAAAGTAAATCAATTAGCAATCATATTGTTACGTACAAGCATTCACACGATGAATCCATTACTTCCTGACGAATCTCGAATATGTCCGCAGGGGGGGACCCAACGATGGTCGGCAACCTTCGTCTTAAAATTATACCCTGAGTGAAACATATTTGCCGCTTAGCAATATAAAATTTAGAATTTTCGAGAAGATTGAAGAACGTTCCAGAGAATTCGATAATAATATAACTAGACTTCTGTATGACAGTTGATGACAGTTTGTGCATGAACAGTTAATCAGTAATGCAGTAATGTATGTGGGTTTAATTTTAATGTTCAGGGGTTATTTGCTATCTATTTGACAACTTCGAGTTCTCTCACCACATCAAACAAGTTCAGGAACCGCTGACTGAGTATTTTCGGTGCATTAATTCAGTGTCTTTTGGGTTCTTTACATTTGGCACCGCGAAATTTTTGTTTATATTATAACTAATTTGCGTATATTCTCGGTTTTATATTTAACGAAGAATTAAACTTGAATTAAAACCGTTTTCGTTAAAAACGAAACCTTCTTTTTTCTTAATTAGATCTGTACAGTAAATAGTAAATTACATTTATCTGTTACAGATGATCTTAAATTAAAAGCTGCAACTTACGTATAGGCCTAATTAAAAATTCTCGCAACGTGTTAATACAAAAAGAAGTAGCTCCTTCGAAAAACTTATTACAGTCTGCCATTTGTCTGAATGTAAAAAAACTGTTATTGACAGGCGGTTTACACGTGAGAGAAAAGCTAATGGTACAGGTCAAGTTGCAAATAAGTTACGCAACTCGAAACAATTTCTAACAGTTTGCAAGGCGTAATTTACACTTATTTTCCAGTAAAATTTCATATGGCAGCCAGTTTCCATATTTATCTATAAAATTTTTCTGATCTACTACTGAATTAACAATTTTTTTATAACAACTCGGAACTTTTCTTCACACTTTAAAATTTGTTTATGTATATTCTTTACAATTAAAAGTTTACAGTAAGAAAGATAGATTAATTAAAGTACATGTACGTAACAATGCAAAGCAATTTTCATTTTGCAAAAAAGTAACATAATTTTTGGTAAATTTTTAGTCTTACATTTTTCCTTTCAGAATTTATGTATAAAATATTGTAGCGAGCACGAGCGTCTTTATGTGCGATCGGGCATACGTGTGTGTGAGCGACTTATCGATTCGCCGACTAACCGCGGGCGCCTTTCTTCATGTGCGCCGTATTTGTAAATGTGTGTGTCGTACCTGCGTTCCGGGAAAGCAATTAAACAGTTCAAA